CACGGGCAACAATGATCGGCATCGGAAGAGGCATGGGAACCTGTTTGTTGCGATGTTGGAGGAGAATCCGGTATGTAAGAAATGGGAAGCAGTTCATCAAAGGAAGTGATTTGTAGAGCCTTAAGGGATGTTGAAGATGAAGAACCAGCATAAGGAAAAGTTGCTTCATCAAACTGTATGTGTCGTGTAGTGTAAATGCGATTAGAAGAAGGATCTAAGCACCGATATCCTTTGTAGTTTGTGTTGTACCCAATAAAGATGCATGGGGTGCTTCTTGGTGCTAGTTTGTGAGGTGAATAATCTCTTAAGTACGGAAAAACACGGCAGCCGAAAACTCGAAATAAATCATAATTCGGTGATGAAGAGAATAATAACTCAAACGGCCTTTTGTTGTCAAGGAGCTTTGATGGTAACCGGTTGATAATAAATACCGCAGATGTGAAAGCATCGACCCAGAATTGGGCGGGAACATGTGCATTGAATAACATTGCAAGACCCGTTTCTGTGATGTGATGATGTTTGCGTTCCGCCCTACCGTTTTGCTGGGGAGTATACGGACACGAAACACGGTGATGAGTCCCATTACTCACAAATGTTTGTTTGACACGGTTGTTAAGAAATTTTGTACCACCATCACTTTGAAAAATTTTAACCTTGGAAGAGAATTGCGTTTGGACAAAGGTTAAAAAATTGGTGAGAATTAACGGGAAATCGGACTTGTTCTTGAGTGGATAGAACCACATGAACCTAGAAAAATCATCCACAAAAACAACATAATACATATAACCCTCTGTAGAAGGTATTGGTGATGGCCCCCATAAGTCACAATGAATAAGGTCTAGGACATGTGAAGACCGTTTTTCATTTTCATTAAAAGGTAATCGTTTGCTTTTGGAGAGTTGACAAGAAGAACAAATTATTAGTTTTGGCAATACTGAAGTAAGAGATAAATAACCAAAATTTTCTAATAAAGAAACAATGTCAAAAGCTACATGTCCAAGTCTATTATGCCAAACTTCAAAAGAAGCACTACTCCTTTTATTCTGTAATGCTGCTAAAAACGCCTTATTGCCTTGCTCAAGTATGTAAATACGAGCTTCACATCTACCTTTTGCAATGATTTCCTTGGTGATTCGATTCTAAATTGCAAAAAAAGTGTTAGATAAGATAACGTCTACTGTGAGTCATGAGTGAGCTTGCTAATGGAAAGAAGGTTTTTAGTGATGTGAGGAACCACTAGAACATCTAATAATTTGAGATTTTTGGAGACACGGGAAGTACCAATACCCGTTATGTTTAAAAGATTACCATTTCCAACAACCACTTGATCGTTTCTAGCATATGAGGAGGAGTGATCAAGATGTGTAGAGGAGTTTGTCATGTGAGATGAGGCACCAGAATCAACGTACCAGTCTGGACTGGTAGTATTGCACTTGTTTTGAAAAGCATGAACAAGGTTTGCATCAACAGTTGAATTTTGCTGAAACGTTGGTAGATCAGGACATGAGGATGCATAGTGTCCATTTTTGCGACACAGTTGACAATGGGGAGGACGTCTGCCACGCCCCCTGCCACTAGAAAAACCACCATGTGGCTGAGAACTTCGACCCTTGGTGTTTGACGAGCCCTTAGATGAGGGTTGAGTTTGAGCTATGAAGGCAGCAGTAGCAGTTGTGGCGTGATTTTGGATGGATTTGAGGAAGAGCTCGTGACTTTCTGCATGGGAGAGAAGAGTACGAAAAGAGGGACATGGTGTGACTGCTCGATGAGCAGTGGAAAATGACTCGAAGGCAGAACCGAGTCCACATAAGAACCAATGTACTTTGTCCATGTCTTCAACCGGATGACCAACAACAGCTAATTTGTCACACACAACTTTAAATTGTCAACCAAAATCAGAAACAGAAGAATTACCTTTGGTCATATGTCTGAGAGAGTCACGAAGTGTATGAACACGCTCCATGGAATCATGGCTGTAAGCGTGTTCAAGAGATTTCCAAACAGCATGAGCAGTAGTGAGGTTGAGAGCTTCGGCCATGACCTCTTCCGAGAGAGAGGACTGGATAATTAAAAGAGCCCGCTGATCTGAATCAACCCATGTCTGATATTCTGGGTTTGGAGAAGACTTTCATTCAACGACAATAGTAGCGGGTGGAGAAGGAATAGAACCATCGACATGGCCAAGCAAGTTCTGATAAGATAATAAAGGCCGTATCTGATTCTTCCAAAGCAGGTAATTTGAAGATGTTAACTTAATAGTGAGAAGATGTAGAATAGTTGCTAGAGGGAGGTTGGATTCGCAGATGCCATGAAGAAAAGACGAAGAGAATGGGGGTTGCGGCTAGGGTTAAGCGATCATGGCTGATACCATATAAGATTTGTTTCCCCTTGAACATGTTCTTTGTTTATATATATATATATATATATATATATATATATATATAGAGAGAGAGAGAGAGAGAGAGAGAGAGAGAGAGAGAGAGAGAGAGAGAGAGAGAGAGAGAGAGAGAGAGAGAGAGAATACAGATGTACAACAGCTAGTCTTAAATACAGGAGATTAATTAACAATACAAATGCTATCTAATACTATCATATCTCTAATATTATTTCTAATATTATCGCTAATACATGCACCCTATATTATATTACAGAATATCGATGCCCTACCATATTGAGATTATACGTGTCGGATATGGGTCAATAAGCACACACCTTATACTACGTATATGGTCGGTGATTTCATGTATTAGGTGCAAGCCCACATACACAAATGTCATAAAACATACCAACATTCAATGTTAGATATCACATAATTTTTTAAGAAATGCATTGGTTACATTTGGATATTTATTTCCTACCAAAATAATTGAATTATGTGTCACAGACATGACATAAAGGAATGTGAAATTTGATTATTTGTTTTTTTCTCAAAACATCAATTAAAAAGGTCATTGTTTTATTAGAAAATATGTAATCAAATGTACTAATTTTGACTCATTATTTTTGTAGATCTCGAATTCAAACAATGTTGAAACTACAAACGTTTTGTCATTGCGCTTAATTTTTAGCAAAATATAACTGGATTGTACAGAATTCACAGAACAACATAAGCAACCTACGAGTCACTCTTGGGGATTGATCGTAAACTTTAGGCTACTGTTTAACTAGCACCAAACTAGCCGAACTCGTGAACATCAAGGACGTAGAATACTTGCTATGAGAAGCATCTCAATGATGCGATTAATGTAAGATGTTTATTGTTGGCCGCTAAAGTATCGAAACTACAAAATAAATTAGAAACCTTATTGGCATATGGCGTCATGATGAAAACGTTATAACCTCCTTATGTCCTGATTAATAGCCTCATAACGAAATCATTAATAGACAACCTTTGAATGATTCAACCTAAGAACGTTTATTTAACCACCTAACTTTTTTTGATTGATGAATTTATCTACGTCAAGTTACAAAGATTTTTTTTTCTGACTTTAGGCATAATTGATTTTTAGTTAAAATGTTAAAATGGTAATTTTTCATTAAAAATAGAGAAAATGACAAAATTAGCCAAAATCCTTAATTACGTATTAGTTTTTAGCCAAAAATTAACATTTATCACAAACTAGCCATAAAAACCATAGGTTAATGAAATGGTCTACTCTTTCGCATATGTATAGAAGGAAAAAAAAATCATTTTTACAGAATAAAACCGTAGACCATTTTATGGTCTACGGTTTCCTCTCGATGGTCTACCATTTTATGGTCTACGGTTTCCTCTCGATGGTCTACTGTTTCCCAACCGTAGACCAAAAATGGTCTACTGTTTCGACGAAAAAACTATTGTTTTAGTTTTTTTTTTTACTACTACTTGTAGTTATTTTTTCTTATTACTTATTTGGATCGTTATCAATATACTACATTTTCAATATACCATTTTTTATATCAATTTATTGAAATTATTAATTACCATACGTGGTAAGTATATATGATTATATGCATATTATTTCTTTCTAACTTTAGTTTGCGGTTGAATTTAACTATTCATTGGAAAGGTAAACATCATTGTTTATAACCCAATATTTAATAAGAAAGTCAAGATGAATCAACCACATATATTAAAGCTAGAAAGAAATAATATGCATATATACATACCACATATATACCACATATGATAATTAATAATTTAAATGTGTTGATATAAAAAGTGTTGTATTAAAAATGTAGTATATTGATAACGATCTAAACAAGTAATAAGAAAAAATAACTACAAGTAGTAGAAAAAAAAACGAAACAATATCTTTTTGACTGAAACAGTAGACCATTTTTGGTCTACAGTTTGAGAAACAATAGACCATCGAAAGGAAACCGTAGACCAAATGGTCTACGGTTTTGCTTTGCAAAAATGATTTTTTTTCCGTATATACATATGTGAAAGAGTAAACCATTTCATCGACCTATGATTTTGATGGTTAGTTTGGGATAAATGCTAATTTTTGCCTAAAAATTAATATGTGATTAATGATTTTGGTTAGTTTTGTCATTTTCTCTTAAACATCTATTTTCAACAACCTATGTTCAACAACCTTGCTAAACAAAAGGAAATTGTCACTATCACAAACTTTATACCAAATCTAAAGATTATTTTGTTTCATTATCAATATTGGAATAGTGAAATGTATTTAGTTCAAATGGCTTCGAAGTAACATTTTTGGGATTTGGGATGATTCAATATGATATCATACTTGGTGAAAACATGTTCCCTCAAAATGTATGGGACTGGGATCGATTCACTAGTAAACTTTGTTCTTTTTCTTAAAATTTATAAGTAACATATGAATTAAGTGCGATAATATGGATATAATTAGTGACTAATTACATACCAATTTTTTTTTTCTTTTTCTACGGGAAATCTTTTCCAACGAATTTTATCTAATTGTGACGGTTATGGTCAGGGATCACGTTCACGGTGGTGATGGCGGTGCACGGTCGTTATGGCTTCAAGATCATGCTTTTCCTCCTTTTCCAGACCCCTTGATCTTCTCCTTCCCCTTACTTGCAAACGCTTTAGCATAAAGCGCCATTCTGGTTTTAACAGAATCAGAGTGTTTCGATGCATCTGAATCCGAAGTCGAATCCACCAATTCGACTTGCCAAGAAATCCTTTTGTTCATCGGCCCTTCTTTTCGAGGAAGATCATGAGTCACCATAGCCCCCAACGGCGGGGGACCCTTGTTCGATTGCAGATAATTCCCGTAATGAGTCTTCAATCGAACTTCTGAACCGTCTTCTGTTATCACCGGAACCCATTGAAGCGCAGAACTCCATTTCCCTGTAACAGAACAATCATCGACAGCTGAGATCGGATTATCAGCGTTAAGATTTCCGAGTTGGGTTTGGGTAACTTTGAGATATCGAGCTCGCATTCCTGGAATTGAGGGTTTGTTTGATGCTGTTAGGTATTTCCCGTAGCAACTTCTTAATGATATGCAATCTTCATCGATGATTTCCACTGTCCAATGTGAATTCCTTGTTGATCCATCTCGATTTTGGGAGACGGATTCTTCGTCGTTGTCTGCAACGAGGTATTTATCCCGATAACTTTTGAGACGTATCGTCGAATGATTCGGGAATAAATCCATTTCAAACTTGATCGGAAATCAAGCAGTCCGGCGAAATGGATTTCGTTGCGATACACGAGCGTGAAAGAATGAAGATTTTTTGGAAGGCTCAATGTTTGACGAAAAAGGAACCGAAGATTTGCCTTTTGAATCGGAAGTTTTGGAAGAAATAAAAGGTCGGGGGTACTTTCATGTGTCAATTCGATTATGTGTTATAAACTTTTGGGTAAATTACAAAAATGGTCCTTGTGTTATGTATTTTTCTTTTTTTAATAAGTCCTATGCTTTCAATTTGGACATAGAGCATCCCTGTGGTTTCTTTCTGTCACGTATATAGTCCTTGACATACATGAATCAACTTAATTGCCCTTATCATTATTATTATTTTCTATCTTAATTTATTTATTTATTTATTTTTTTTAAGCTACACCCACCACCCAACTCCCTTTCCAGTTTCCATGTCGTCAACGCCTCCTCATAACAACATAAATATGATGTTTATTGGTATTGAATTACTGTTAGATTTTATGTAAAAAAGTCTCTTAATTTTTTTTAACAGAAAACTCTCTATTATTTAACATTTTGTTCAACTTAATGATTTTTTTTATTATTATTATTTTTAATTTTCACAGGAAATAAAAGATTATGTGATTTTTTCAAAATAATATTTTTTTTTTGTTAAAAAAAACATTTAGGACTTCATCAAAATTTTTACCAAAATAAACTTTTCTACATAAAACCTTAGAATAGTTATAAGTAACTATTTCTTTTAATTCATGAGAACCAGCAAACTTATCGTTAAAAATCCATTTTCTTTGGCTGAATTTATATAGTTGCTACAAAAGAGATAATACATACAAAAGAGATAATACGAACAAATGTCCTGACGAATGCCCATAATGGGACCAAGAATAATGGATGATTTAACCTGTAAATTAATTATAAAATTTTACAAACTATACATGTAAATAAAACAACAGTTATATTAAAACAATGTCATGAATAATGGATGATTTAACCCGTAAATTAATTATGAAAATTTAAAAACTATACATGTAAATAAAACAACAATTATATTAAAACAATGTCATGTACCTCTAAATGTTCCAATAGATCAACAATGTTACAAAACTCATGGTCTTTGAGAAATTCATCATGATCCAAGTATGATTTAGATGAAACAAATCAACAATAATGATGAGTTTTATTTTCTAGTACAACCAATCTATTGATTTGAAATGACAAAACAAATTACATGTATGTTTGAATGAAAAATTATACACATAAAACAAATAAAAAATAGAAAAAAAAATACTTTTACTTGAACCGACGGATTTCATAATATTGATGAACTTACTAACATCAAAATAGATTGAAACAAAAGAACGGCCTATAAAAAAATATTTTAATAAATTTGAAATTATTAATAAAATAGAATGTTAGTAAAAATACAAACCACTCAAAAGCTTGAGTTTCACAAACTGAACAATAACAAGGACAAGAACAACATTGTTATGCTTACAAAGTCACTTTAAGCTTAGTAACCTTGCAGATGCACGACCATCTTGTGCTTGGACCTATCTTCATCGCTTGTATCCATCGCAGCATACTCAATAATTTCTCCAATAACATTTACAAAGACATGAAAATAAGTTTTTAATTTTAAAAAAAGAAAAACAATGTTAATAATTACGTACAATTAAACAATATTGTTGTTTATACAATGTGAATATTAAATTAACTAACCAAAAGATATTGTCTCTGGAATGCTTTTTGAAATGATGGAATTAAAGTCAACAAACGAAAATCCATGAATACATCCAGAGAAGTCCAAACACTCCCTAACAATTATATATTGCCACAAACTAATTTTCCGATAATGACCGAAATACTTAAAAAATGTTTTATTCTCACAAACGACAGATGACTTGATGTAATAAGCACGATCTTCTTTAAGTGTGCGTTAGACCTTTGAAAACCGTTTCTTCAAAACATAAGCATGAATCTTGCTTCTCTATTAATATATAACATATAAATATTGGAATGATTCTCCTCCATCATGTGACGCGGTAGTTTGGAGACCAGTTGTGTTCTGCATGTTCGATCGAATGTTTTGGAGTGAACTTAAAGACGAGATTGGGGTAATGATGTTTGCAGATGTGCCATTTTAGGGCAACTAAGTGTTCATTTTATACGGAGGCGCCTGAACAGTCGAAGCGTGCTCCCTACGATTCACATTCAATATGACGTTGTTTCGGTTGTTGGACGCTTAATTTGAATTCTTGCCATGTCGTCGCTTACGTGTTAGGTTAGGCTTATGTGACAATGTAAACCGGCTACAATATGTGAAAGGGATTATATTGGTAGATAACAGATAATTTGTTCCCTTATAAAGCTATAAAATAAGTTAAGTGATTAAATGAGTAAACCCTAGAAATATAATAGGACATATATGCCATTTTCCTTAAAATTAATCATAATCATATTATTATTATGACCATATTCGATCATATTGTTGACCACTAGACGTTAGTGCTGCATGATGAGAATTTTTGAATCCGCCACTGCATATATATCATTGCTAATATTTTGATTCCGTGAAGAAACTTTAGTTTTTTTTTTTTTTTGATAAACCTATCAAGAGACCACTTTGAGACTTTTTTAATTTTTCATTTTCTTTTACATCTTTCACTGCGAGATAGATGCTTAGAAGACATAATTTTTGAAATTTATATATGATATAAGATTAACATAACAATTTGAAAATTTTGAAAGTCATCAGTACTCTGATCAACTAAGCCACAAAACAAGAACAAAATTACAAAAAATAGAGGGAACTAGCAATTAAGGAAATAAGTCAAATCACTCAAAACATAAATCAAATTTCGTAATATATTAATGTGAAACCAAAAATTCAGTCATTCAAGATAATTAAATATATTAGTGTGTTACCTTCGTTAATCTATGAAATCAATCAAAATAGAAAAACGAAATGACAACAGGTTCATAAATCATGAATTAGTATGAAACACTTGTTTAATTTTAATTGACAATCGTGAAATCTTAAACGAGAGGTAAAATCTAGTGGAATTTTGAAATTAGAACAACCCATTATTTGCTAAAATGCAACTTTTTATTTTAAGCCCATTTTTTAAAACATAAGTTGTTGTAATTTTTCAAAACGTGAGTCGTCGTAAATTTTTAGTTTTAGCACTCTTGGAATCAGAACAAAAGATGGTACCGGATTACCGATTGCGGGTCGATAGAGTGAACCGTATGTAAAATTGACCTTTTAAACCGTATGCGGTCGCTCATACGTCAGACAGCATCAGACAGCTGCTATCCTCCCGATTAAACATCATCGGAGAAGATGATTTCTTGAATTCCGAGCTTCTTAGCAAAACATGACTCAATTCGTGAACTAGAACACAATGCATTTGAACGAATTGCTTATTGGTTTATTCATAAAAAATGTACATGTTTGTAATGAAATAAAGAATCAATAACTGAGGAAACGTATTGAGGAAAGTCATATATGTGCATTTATGATTCTTGAAACCCTAAATTCATATGCTTCTTTTGATCCCATCAACGATTAATTGCTGATCATTAAGAAGCGAACCACACTAAATTTCTATATAATCCTATTGAAATTAATCAAAATCAGATAGAATTCGCATCAGATCATCGTTCGTTATCTCTTGATCATCCAAATTCTTAGATGGCGATTCCATTCTTCTGCTCACGACTTCATTAGCATTACGATCACTTGATCCAACGAAGTAAAATCCTTGATCATTCTCGTAGATCGTCTGATCAGTCGTGCTATTACTCGATCCACCAACACTTTGATCGTTTATGATCTCGTTTTTAACTGGAGGATCTTGTGTTCGATCGTGGTTGTTTCTTCTATGAAAATCGAGCAAAAGACGAACGTATTGAAGCTGTCGCATCATGTTCACCAGTTTTTGTTGCAGATAAACAGTAACTCCGTAACATCCGTCAACTGGATTAATATGACGGATGTAAGATTCGTACTTAATCGATATCATCGCTTCTTGTTTCTGAACATTGTCGTTCAGCAGGTTTAGTATCCTCAAGATCTTTCCGGTGCCGTAAAGGCGGTGGACGTATCGGAAGATTTGAGGTTGATCGGCCGGAAAATATGGTGCGAAAGGGCAGTCCGCCGGACAGCAGCGGCGCGAGAAGCGGCAGGCGGCGCAAGAATGGTGAGAACGATGTTTGGTCGTCATGGGAGTTTGACTGCAAGAAGGTCTGATCAAGGACCTGATCCGAAGATGACGACTAACTTGATATCTGATTATATCGGAATATATAGTTTTTCAGGAGGTTTATCCACACATTTCATATTTATTTTGGGATTTATATTATGAGAATATCACAAAATATATAATAAAAAATGAACGTAGGAGTTATCTTTTAATAACTAATCTTTTGAACATTTTAAAAATCCTTTTATAACTAATTTTTGGAGCATTTAAAAAAAATACTTTTTAGTTTTATGTCAAATCATTAGTATAGTAATATTTAAAACAAATCTCTAAGATTGATCCATATGGATAGGGTCCCAAAAAGTTTTAACTTGTATGAACGATCTAAAATCAAAAAATTTAGGTTATTATCACAAAAATGATCGAGCCTTTGGTGGAAGAAAAGAGAAGAAACAAAGCTGGAATCCAGTTAAATGTGGAAAAGCTTTGATTGTGTGTGTGTTTAATTAAGTTGCATATATTGATTGTCAATATAGAAAAGAAAAATAAGTGATTTACGTGATGGTGGATTTGTTGACCAATGATGCACCATCTTCATGTGTTTCTTTCCGAGACTTTAGTCGCGGTACCACCGTTTTGAGTCCAATCGGTTAACCACTATCGACTCAGGTGTTTGATTTTTTAAGCAAAAATCTATAAAGTTTGCGGATCATTTCTGCAACCCTCTGCACTAGAAGAGGTGGACCAAACGGCTGCAGACTATAATAAGAAGCGTGTTTGTTTTTGTAACATCTGCATGCTGCTGCATATATTAAAAAATTAAAATAAACTGATTTTATAATTCGAAAATAGTTTTTTAATACCGAAAATTTATTAATGTATGACATTTCGGCAAGAAGTTATGATATTTCAGCAAAAAATAATGATATTTTAACAAAAAATAAAGATATTTTAGCATAAAATAATGATATTTCATCAACAAATTATTATTATTTAATATAAATTTTTTTTCAATAAGAATAAACAAAAAAAATGTGAAATAAGATTTCAACAATATATAATCAATATTTTAGCAAGAAAAAAAGAAGAAGAAGAGGTTGGAAGAGGTATGAAGAGGCAAAACAAGTGTTGTGCCAAGAAGAACACGTGCATAGGTTTTTTAATCCGAAGACTTCTGAAAAACAAACAGCTACGAGGTGAAAAGTGTTGCGCGTGTGCTGCGTCGCGCAACAATAAGAGGTCTGAAGAGGTTTTTTCCAAAAAACAAACAGCACCTCAGTTTGGCATTCCTTTCGCTTTACTTTAGTTTACCCACGTCAATTATGCAATCTAACATTAATGTGCTCCTTCCTAAAGTATAAGTATCGGACTTGTATTCCTTCCCATGGTAGAAAGTACGTCGCTCTAGCTAATACGAATTGCAAAGATGTCATGGATGATGCGTTTAATGCATTAATGGAAAACAAAACATGTCTTCATGTACCAAAACACCATATATACATATAATACAATCCATGTGGAGTTTTAAACATAAATTCAAGTCCAATTGGTCTTTTCAATGCGACAAAGCATGACTAACCGATGATGGTTGTTTACAAACAGGTTGGTATTGATTGTCACGAAACATTCAGTCCATCGTCAAACCGGCCAACATCAGATTCATTCTCAGCATGCTATGCTATCTTGAAATCTTGTCTTATCCATCAATTGGATGTCAATAATGCTTCCAGATGGAAATCTAAAAGAAACAGTCTACATGTACAAACCAACGGGTTTTCGTGACACCAACGTTTTGTATCGTGTTTGTTTGCTACAAAAGTCGTTATATGGACCAAAACAAGCAATGGGTATATGGTATCAATGTTTTGTCAAGTTCGTTCACACCATTATATTTATCTGCAACATTTGTGATCATTCTCTTTTTATCTATCGAAAAGAAAATGACTTGGCTTATTTATTATGCTATTTCGATGATATCATTGTAACCACTTGGTCCAATGAAATTAACTTCAAGAATAACTAATGCACATGATGGCCGACGAATTTCCATGAGGTCATATAAGCTACTTTCTTGACATAACTATACACTGTCATAAGGGTGGACTCTTTCTCGATCAAACCAAATACACAAAAGAAATAGTTGAACACGTCGACATTAGCTCTTGCAAACTGACTACCACCCGTTGATAGTAATGCAAAATTGCCATAAGCCAATGGTGACCCTTTTTCAAACCTAACTCTTTATCGGAGTCTTCTCTATAATATCTAACGTTTTACACGCCCTAATATTTCATATTATGTGCTACAAGTTTGCATGTTTACATATGCACAATCCATCCACACATAGTATACATGAACGTTTTCAAGAAAATCATCACATATGTTCAAGGCTCCCTCACTCATGGCTTACATCTCACAAAATTATCATCCTCGCACCTACTGTGTTATACCAATGCGCCGGACCGAATGATCCACTTATGGTTATTGTGTTTTTTAGGCAAAAATCTAATTTCTTTGTCTTCAAAAAGACAACCTACTTTGTCGTAGATTAATTGTGGAGATTGGACATCGATGGCTTCACCAACGTTGCTTTAAAAGCATGTTGGCTTTGCAACTTGTTACCCTCTTTCTAAAGTCACAATATTCTACTGCGCACCAATAATCTTTTTGGTAACACCATACAACACCAACACACAAAACATTTTGATATGAGTATTCATTTTGTTCGTGAAAAAGACTCAAAAGGGTAGGTCTGAGTTCTTCATGTTCCATCATGTTATTAGATATCCGATATCTTCACCTAAGGTCTACCACATCTATGGTTATTCGTAGATCACAACCAAAAAATCTTGACCCAATCAATTCGATGATTTCCAAAACAATCTTAGCATCCATCAACCTCCCGCTAAGATTGCGGGAGGACCTTGCGGTCAGTAGCATGTAACATGTTCACCATGCTCGACCACATAGGCCCAAGTTTTTTATGGTCATTCCATATATGTCAAAATTTAGAGAACGAAATTTCAGGAAACCACTTTAAATTAGGAAACAATATTGATGTTATCTAAAGGCATGAAAAATCAATTTCTTTCAAGATTCGGTTACTATCGCTTCTCGATAGGTTTGTAATAAACTGATCATTATTCATCATTTATAATATTTGTTTTGTGTCCGTATTTTGTGGGTTTGCATTTGTCACGACATGAATATTTACTTTTTAAATTCCGATATACCGAATAATGGTTATAATGCTCGTTCTTTAATCCTTCATCTATTTTGGAGATTGGAATACCACACTACTATTTCCGTCAAAGGTAATGCTTCAGATTTTCTTTGTTAATAGACCTTGCATTGTTTATAAAAATAAAAGTAAATATCAAACATTAATATAGTTCAATACATATCGATTGAAGGCAAACGGACAACAAGTTGCGCCGCTAGCCCTTTCTGGATGGCAAAACCAATTCTTTTGAAAACAATATTTGTGGATCTAGGAGATATGACATTAGAATGCATGACCCGCTAGACTCTATTGAGGAGCTCCACCGCCTCTGGTGCGAGAAAACCAAATGTATCGAATGCAAAAGGTACAAACACATGTTGATTTTCTATACATGCGTTCTCGTGCTTAACCACTTTGCACGCAGCGGCTTTCAAAGCGGCATGTCCCGCTGTGAAACTCCCGCTCCCCAGACCAACGAGAGGAGAGACCCCAGTAAGATCCACGCACGCATGCTTCCCTCCTATCCATCCAAAGACCAAAATGTCAGCCGGTCTAAGTGTAGACCTTTCATCCTGCGGGTCCGTCAAAAAGTTCATTGACGCTTCTTTCTTCACAGAAATACCAGCACGCCAACAAGCATCAAAGAGAACATCCCGAACCACTTCATGTCTGTACTTGAAACCAGGAAGCTCTCTACAATGAACCGCGTGTTCCCCAAATGTATCCAAACATGCCTTGCGGCATATTGGACATATCTCGTCAATTGGGAATAGGGGAATCATGAGGCGGTAACGAAGGATAGTTCGGTACTCCACAGGAGACATATGCTGGCCAAGACCATAAATAGGGATAGTTAGCAGAAAATCCTGAGCATGAGGTGCCCGCAGACACTCAAAGACTGCTTTCTGTCTGACAGTCATGTCGAAGTTGACTTCCATATCTTGGACGATTTTGCTAAAAAGGGCACACGCCAAAGTTTTTTGGGATTTAGGGGGGGCGGTGTCCTTATTAGTGAAACCGCTACAGTCAAATCCCGGAATCGTATCGCGAAGACGAGTCATAGCACATAAGTAATCCGAGTCCATACCACATACGCCACTGTCACGTAAGATGTGATCTTGTAATTATTGAAAAAGGCGTGACCAACACCACCTCTACTCAAAATCCATCCTTCTTAGTATTAAAAAAATCGGTTTGTCAAATACACAGCCTTCAAAACCCAAAAATATATGAATTCAAAAGAAGTAAAAGAGGAAATAACAGGCTTCTTTATATAGAGATGAAGAAGAAGCATATGAGGGCGAATTTGTGAATTAGCATGGACTTAACGATGCGATGACTAGAACTATGACACAACCATAGTTTATGAATGACTAATGCAAAAATGCAATCTATTATACGACATTCATAACTTTTCGGTAAGCAAATGAACAATTTTTGTTATATAATCTAAATCCCTATTTTGTGTTCTTCATCTTTGTAATTTCTTCTTATTTTATAAATTTCTTTAGCTTTGTAATACCATATTGTGGTTTAACAGAATGTACACATTATATGATACAATACTAAAAGTGATGTAAAAAACCCCATCTAAAGTACCAACTCAAATATGTAATGGAATAGATTGTTCTAAATTACAAACATCCAAGAAATATCCCACCCTTTTTACCTATTATGGTTTCAATAAAGGATTGTAATGAATTTTGGAACTAGGAATCAACAAGATTTTCACCATGACCTAAACATTTGTGCTAATACTCGTGACAATTTTAATTTACATGCCGATAAGAAGCTACACATAATGCATCACATACAAAAGGAAATTAAAGATAATATAAATTGAGAACGTAGTTATACTTCTCAAGAGTCTTGACAATATTGTAGCATAACAAGTCTATCACTGATGTAGAAAACTAACATTTAAACAATCATGGAAAAAATACCACATTTTTGCAAAAAACAACTTGTTTTTTCCACTTTCAGCAGAAAAGTAAAATTTCCCGCATTGTGAGTGAAGATCAAACCACTGCTCTATTCCTACAAAACCAGCAGGCAGCATATCCTTGCTAATAAAGATTGCATATTCTTCTACTGTTTTTTCAAGTGATACCCATTCCATTTTGCTAAGATTTATTTCTTGAATCTTCTTGTCTAGAAGTCGATCAATCACATAAAGATTTTCACCCAAACTTACAAACACAGGAAAATCAAAGTATCCCTTTGGAGAATTCTTGATTTCAAGTATTGTCACTTTGGGTGTTGGATAAAGTCTCACTTCACACAAACAGCTATCATTGTGTATGGTATATACCTTTCCCTTTAAAGCATGTAAATCATTGATGTAGAAAGGGGTGGAGATATGATTCCATTCTTGTTTACCAGCAATACAAAACCATATATTACGAGAGTATTGACCAAACACAACAAACACCCACCGAGATATTATAGGTGAAAAGACAAGAATACCCCTCAGAGAATGAGGGTCGGGGTAGGCATCACGGAAAGGGACATGAAGGTCATGCCTTGTGATAGGATTCACAAGCCAGAAGTCCTTTCTTTTCTCACTAAACAGAATCAAGTAACCACAACTTACTCCAATACATGTTTTATAATCCGGATGAGGAAGAAGGGTTTTCAACTCTCTTCCTTCAAAGTCCTTTAAGTAAAACTCTTTCACATTAGGATCAGTAGAAATAGATATGGTCATGGGTGGTCTTGACACTATAAACTTGTTCTTGTTAGACAGTGCAAGTGATCTCCATGACTTACAAACTCTGCTGAATGCAAGAAAATCAACAACTCCTAATTGCATCATTACTAAAATAAGCACATCATGGTTGAGATCTGACCAAAGATCACAGGTCTTGATCCTCTTCTTGCTAGGTGCAAGTGTATCATCATGGTTCTGAACTCTAGTCATACTCCTTGTCTTAACCATTTTTTGTTTTCTAGCAATTTAATGCAATTGCTACGGGATGTGTATTCTTGCAAATGCTTCCTGTATGTCAATATCCTGCAACAGACATAAACAAAAAAATCAATTCTAAGTCCACAGGGGTGGGGGAGGAGGTGGTTGTGAAACTATGGTGGCAAAGCTTGGTCGAATTTTAGAATTGTATATACATACCATAGGAGAGGGTGATGGAGATGTAGGGTGGTCTAGGTGGTTGGATACGGTGGTTGTGTGGAATTTAGGGTTTACCGATGGAGGGTTTGGAATTGCAGGAGGTGAGGGAGTTCCGATGGCGCGGGATGGTAGGCAGAGGAATGTAGGGTGGTAGTATTGGGAATAGGAGGAGAGATAGCAGATGAAGAGAGGGGGAGGAGCGTGCGCAGCTGGTTCCGGTAGGGGCGAGTGGCGCAGTGGTGATTGGAGGTGGGCCGGTGAAGAATACGGTGGAAGGATTAGGGGGTAGGGAACAACTTAAGGAGAAGATTAGAGGAGAGATGAGATGAAAAAGATGGCATACCTGAAAGCCGGCGTCGATATGGTGAGTGGTGCAGGTCACCGGCGGAGATGAGAGAAAAAGATATGTGATGTGCGTGTGTTGTTTTTTCTTTAATGAAATAACTGACCTGGTTGTTTTAAATTCCTTTGACCAACAATTTTGTATTTTGAAAAAAATTGGAAAATTTTTAATCAGCATTATTATTATTATTATTATTATTATTTTTTTTTACATTTCAATGAGCTTCTATTAAAACATCCAAATCTATTTTCTCTGTATTATTATTATTATTTTTCATTATTTCTATTTTATTTTTGATTGTCTTTCTTCTGTCAATCTTATGTTATTCTAAAACAATTTCATTTTTCACCCAAAATATTCCAATACTACAAAAAGCATCAAACAAGAAAAAGATACATGACTATATTGGTATAGAAAACAATTAATTGCACCTAATACCCATTTTGATGAGTGTCGAATCCATCAAATAATAAGTCATATTTGTACATATGATTTAAAAATGATAGTAACATTAACAAATATGGTTGATCCTCAAAAAACTCAACTTTAAACAATAAATCCACCAAAATAATCATCATTTTATTCCAATGCATTAAAGTAAATACGGAGAATTTTAAAACAAGTAAACTAATACGGTAAGATAAATACTAGAAATAAGAGTAAAAACAACCCCGTTCCAAGTTTTAATGATAAATCGATGTCAAATTGAATTCTAATTTTAAATTGGTGCTTGAAGATACTAATAAGCTCTGGTATCTTCCATTTACCAAATTGTATAATCAAACAAGTTCTTTGAATTAAACCTAACATTACTAACTTACTCTAAACAAGCTCTTAGAAAAGATTGAAAGATCGCATTAAGTTTGGTGTGAATCTTCCTAACAAAATTTAATTTATCTCACAAGCAATGACGAATCTAAAAACAAAAACCATATCGTTCCTTATGTATATGAAATTTAAAAAAAATGAAAAAGTAAAAAATACTAGTGGTGCGTATGCCTTAAAATACTAGTAGTGGAGATGGTGGGCGCCTGGGCGGTGACTTGTGGCCTTGCCGGACGGCAACTGACGAACGACAGGAATAATAGAGACCGGGGATGATTGACTGATTCGTAGCGTGTTGTGACGAGTCTAATTCATTTTTTCCTTTTTGTTTAATTTTAAATGGATTGAGCTATATTAAGACATTGGGCTATTCTAAATGGTTATTGGATAAAAAAAATATGGATTGGTATTTTTTTTACCAAGGATAACTAGATAGTTCCTTTATAAATAATAAGGTAGTTGCTATTTTTTTCCATATATATATATATATATATATATATATATATATATATATATCTTACATTATAATTTTTTTTTAAAAAAAGATAGGCCCTAGGACCCACCTTCACATAAGCTAGCTACGCCTCTGCTCACAAGCTTGAAAGCGTAAAAACGTTCAATTTTAGTTTATACCAAAGTTAATCCCATCACATAAACAATTCGATGTGTGTCACTTAGCATCAATTCATAAAATAATTATGGATTTTAGAAAATCGAATAACGTGAATGAGCTAATCTTAATCCAAACGTCAAACATGAATCAGGTCGAGAATCAAATGTAGGGTTATAACAAAACTAAAACTGTTAGAAAGAATAACAACATAACATCAAATACTATAATTAACTACATAATAATGAGTTAAAACTACAAAATCGGATGCGTAACTTCAACTAAAAATAACAATAATAAACTAAAAATAATCTAATCGATATTCGCATTATAATCGTGTAATTGTTGGAAATACATGATCATAAGTTGTGATTGTGCAACAGTTTGTTAAACACTTTTTAGGTTGATCAGATTTATTAATGAACATATAATAAATCATATATGTTTAGCACTTTATTACAAGCTTTTCAACCAACTTACAAAATTATTCAATTAAAATAAGATCTTCAAATGGAACTAATTCACAACATAATTATTGAACAAGCTCTCAATAATTTTGTGAGGAGTGCATTAATATTCAAACAAATATACAAACAACAAGTGATTTTCTCATATAAGCTTGAAAAACCAACATGTCAATCAAAATCTATTACAAAATCACTAACATTATTTGCTACTTTTGTCTAAGGGAATGGCTGATTACAAAACCAAATAATCAACATAGCACTCAATTATCTAAACCCTAATTGAGGTGATCAAGTTCAAAAAAAGAATTAAGATAACATAAATTGTTGTAAATGGAAATCATATAATTAAAAAGGAAAAAGAAACACAAACAACAACTTCAATAGCTAATCCAAAATCACTCACGTGATTATCAACTGAATGTGGATGCCGTTGATTTAACTCTTTAAGATGGCTAAACCACCGAAAATTACAAAATAAATAAATAATTAATCAACTTGCGATCGAAAATCAAAGATTTTTTTTTTTTTTTTGATGCTAAACCTTCAAATCGTTCCTCTTTTCTTTTCTGTCTTGCGAGAGTTGTGTTAATCCCCCTCAAAACTGATTCGTGTGTGTATGTATAACCACCAAACTAATCCTTCAAAAAAAATCGTGACAAGCACCCCCTTTTCCCATGGTCAAGTGAGTCTTTTAATCCTTGTGAATTGTAATTGGTTTGGGCTGCCAATACATAATGGGCTGCTTTTTTCTGATTTAAAATACCCACATAAAGTGCAAAAATAGTAAAGAAAATGGGCTGAATAAAACAAGTAAATGGGCTAATAAAATAACTCTTTTTAAATGGGCTGTTGAAACTCTAATGTTAGGCAGATTTTTGCCTATTCTTGAGGAATGAGGACTAAACGGTGCTTCAAATTTTACCCGAATTTAATTTCCATCGGTCAGATTGAATATCAGTGAGTTAGAAAGATCTCTGTAAAATTCTAGATCAATCCGGTTAGATTTACATAATATGTCACGAAATGATTAATAAAATATACTAAAACGATTCATAAAAACCAACCTAACATCATTACGTCACGTCTAATGTTATTTAAAACCTTACTTTTTTTTTTTCTCTTGCAATCCTATACCACAAGAAGAGACAAGAAAAAGAAAAAAAAATGATAAAGAGATAAGAGATGTAGTTACATGCCTAAAAAATAAATGAAAAAAAAACATGGTTGTTTCTATGTTTGTTTAACTATATTGTTATTTTAATTTTCATACTGCTAAAAAAATACAAAAGGGTTTTACTAAGATTTTAATTTTCATACTGCTAAAAAAAATACAATCTACTTTGATACCCAATATGGAAATGTACTTTCATACCCAATATGGCAATGTACTTTGGTTCATTTCAGTATATGGTAGTGTACTTTATACTTTCAATTAAACACATAATTATACCAAATCAGATATAATACTTTCAACACAAACACATACACAAAATCAAACAACCAAACCATAATTAGTAGTACGAAATATATTTCATTAATAGTCAGGAACATTGACATTACAACCAACCATTTCGGGTATAATAATCGGGATAATTGATACCCCAAAAAAGACATTACACGCGGCTTATCCCACCAAACCCCCAAAAGAACATTAGTAAACCTCCAAAATAACCCCAAATTAAACTCTAAATAACATCTACTACCGAAATCAACAAAACCCAACATTAGTACCTAATACGACATCCAAAAAATGATTTCGCTAGACAACAAACCAAACTATTTCCATGATCGAGTTATCCAGCTGACACAAGCACCCACCTTGAGAATCAAAATCCACAAACTGAAGTTAAACTTCTTCTGCATGAGCGCCAACTGCTCTCTAACTGCCATGAGTTCCTTATTCATGTGGTTTCTCAAAGTTTCCACTTCAACTTGCATCTCCATAACAACTAGCTCGTAATCAGAGGGGATATCCAAGTCCGACGTGTGGAAACCGTCGTATGAAAAGCTACCAGACGAAGCCATTATCAATTTTTTCAAGATTTAATTATGAACGGAGAATGGGAGGACAACTGTTGCTCGAAATGGGTAACAATCTAAGGCGGTTTAACCTAATAAGGGTTTGGCCGCTTTTTATGGGGGACCACAAGACACATAAGCAATCTTGGTCCGCAAGGGTGGTACTGTTCACATACGTGGCCGTCCAAATATGCCAACCACTCTCCTACTTGGCAGTCCACATCATTTACTTTTTAAATAAGTGTCTCATTTAACTATTGTAAAAGGTTATGTGACTTATTTAACCGGTTAACTAGACTACGTTCCCTTTAAACAAAAATAAATGAGATAATTTCGTTGAGTTAAAATGACATTTTCTATTTTTTAAAAGAACAAACCTTATTATTTAAATCAAAAAATATTTTTTACTTTAATCTATCTAAACATTTAAAATTAATTAGTTGTTGTAACAAAACGAAATTAGATAATAAATACTTTGAAGTAAACAATGTCAAACACCCCTAAAAATCAAATCCAAAACTTTTTAAAAAAAATTAATAAACTCCTCAAACAATAATCAAACCAAGTAAGACCTTTTTTAGTCCTATTCGAATTTGGTTCTGTTTTAGGTTCTATCGGTTCATTATATAAAATCATACAGAACGTACATTCATACTCAAAATGGTTCGTATGTTAAAATTAAGATCAAGATTATGTAACCCTTCAAATTTATTAAAAAAATATTAAGAACCACAATGGTTAAATACCTAAATTACGTTTTTGATCTTCATTTCGTATAACTATGTTTACTCGTTTAATACTTCTTGAATTCCCAGCATCTTACCAAAACATGCATCAATTCGTGGAGAAAGAAAACAACAAAGAGATGTATTTGAACAAAGTGTTCATGGTTAATTGACCGAAAATGGACAGTTTTTAATGAATTAAAGAATCGATAATGGAGGAGATCGTGTGTAATCCTAAAAACTATAAACAATTTCTGGCTTTGGTACCTTTAAATTCTTGGCTTTGGTACCTTTAAATTCTTGAAAACCTCAATTCATATTCATCTTTTGCTCTCAATCAACGATTGTTGATCATTAACACACAGACTATCAATCGAACTTCATCAAGATCGATCAGATAGAATTGACATCCGATCGATCATTCTTCGTTATCATCTTGATCACCCAAATCCTCAAATGGCGGTTCCATTCTTCTGCTCGCGAGTACTTCATTAATAGCATTACGATCACTTGGCCCACCGAAGTGAAACCCTTGATTATACTGATCATTCGGGATATTACTCAATCCACCAACACTTTGATCGTTAATTATCTGGTTGTTAACTGGAAGACCTGTGAATGAAGGCATGATTTGAGAATTATCTTGTATGATCTGCCACTGCTGATTGTTGATGTTGTTTCTTCGATGCGATTCAAGCAAAAGACGAACGCGTTGAAGCTCATTCATCAAGGCATTCAGGTTTTGTAGCAATGAAACTGTTAATCCGTAACATCCGTGAACTGGGTTAATATTACGGATGTTAGATTCGTATTTAATCGATGTAATCGCTTCTTGTTTCTCTACATTGTCATTCAGCTGGTTTAGTATTTTCGTGACGTTTGAGATGCCGTAAAGGCGGAGGGCGTTTTGGAAGATCTCGGGTTCGTTCGCCGGGAAATATGGTGCCAGTGGACAGTCGATCGTACAGCGGACGTGTCTGTGGCGGCAGGCGGCGCAAGGAGGGCGAGCACCATCTCTCAGTGGCATTGGATTTCAATTGCAACGGTAAAAGAATTAAACTGATTTTTCAAATAGAAATCCGATTGTATCGGAATATAAAGTTTTTCTGTTGTATGTGTAAATGTCCACATCGATCGATCAGTTGGTCATTTTTTAGGGATTTTATATATTATTAGTTTATTACATTATTTCTTTCATATTAAAACTATTGTTACTAATGTGAATCAAACCTAAGTTCGTTATATTTATTGGATAAGAGACTTTATTTCTCATAACCACTTATTTATCTATTTTCATTTATATGGTCAATTTAAATGTTTTATTCTTTGATTAGTTTATCTTTCTTATTAGATATGCAAAATCAAAAATTGGATAGTTATTGTTCGAGTAAAATCGATTGAGTCATAGGTATGATCGAGTCATAGCCACAATTAAGTAAAATCTGATTGTGTCATAGCTATGATTGAGTCTAAAGCTAATAAGTTACGATTGAATTTGTCTTTGAATGAAATCATGATGTTTGATTATATATCTGAATGGTTGTGTGGAACGATGAAAATGACAATTTTATTTTTCTGTTTAAAATAAAATAATAAGATGTCTATCTATATGGTAAAATAATGTGTCTTTTTAATCAACCATTTAAAATAATAAGGTGCAACGTCTTTAAAAACTACTATTTTATCTTTTTGAATGAAACCCCTCAGAACCACTTAGATTCGCCACTATATATCTCATGTGTCACTTGAAAAAGTTTTTGAAAGGGTTGATGCCATACAAGTAACAATTAATTAAGTTAAAATATCATCCTAGGTGCAATTAAATAAACTGAAGATATATATCATTCAAACTTGAATGACTAAGTTGAAAAAGAGATTATGGTACCAATGAATAATGAAACGCTCAATTTAGTGTTACATTATTTAATATTTACTAACATCGGATTGGTGTCAAAAGTGATATTAAGTGAGAAATTTTAATATTAATTTTGGTGTAAAAAACATGTTTTTATATTGAATTAATGTAAAATGTTTCAATATAACCCAAAAATAAAGATATATAATCAACGTGTGGACTAGTTAAACCTCCAAAACAAAATATCCCGATATAATAGGATTTCAAGTTAAACTCATCATCGTCTTCTAGGTTACTTTCTTCACTCTACGACCAATTAACCTTACATTAGCCATTATAATGACAGTCAAAGGTGGTTCTCGCCCAGCTTGCGCCGCCTGCCGCTTCCAACGCCGCCGCTGTTCGCCTGACTGCCCACTTGCACCATTTTTTCCGGCCAACCAACCCAAGATCTTCCAGAACGTCCACCGCCTTTACGGCGTTGGAAACGTCATGAAGATACTAAACATGTTGAACGACGATGAGAAGAAAGAAGAAGCAATGAAATCAATTAAATACGAATCTTACATCCGTGAGATTTATCCAGTTGACGGATGTTACGGAAGGATAGCGTCTTTGAAACAAAACCTGGTGGATTCGATGCGAGAGCTTCAATATGTTCGTCTTTTGATCCATGCATGTAGAAACAAGAAAGATCTGACACAAGATTCTGATCAGATGATTAATGAATTAGGGAACATTAATAAGGATCATGGATTTTATAACTACTTTGGATCAAGCAGTAGTCATAATAATCATAAACCTTACGAATGGGATGATCATAGAATGAAAACAAGCAATGATCTCACACAAATTCAACATCGTTTTGATGAATTCAGATTATCTGGTGTCGAGGGAAGCCCAGATTATACTGAAAATACGTGTGATTCGTTTGCTGATGATCAACTATGGTTCATGGGATCAAAAGAAGATCACGAATTGAGGTTTTTTGCAAGTTCTTTTTTTATCTTTTCAATTTGATTTCATCACATAATTTTTCTTTTTGGACGTAAATAAAAGAAGCTTATAAATGGTCTAATGTCTTTTTTTTTGTATGTGCAGTAGTTCGTTTACAAAGCCAGTTGCTTTTTGCTAAGAAGCTCGAGAACATTTCTGGGTGGAAAGTCAAAAGAGTCGATAATCATATGAAAAGATGAGAAAGATGTTGATGTACGTTCTAAACTCCTCCATGAACTACATAAATAAAACACAAAAGGAGGTTTGCAACGAGGGTATTTTAGGTGTTTAGCTATTATCGGTATGTAGAGGCAAAACCCATGTTTTTGGGGTTTTGAGTCTTTATTGTGTTGATTTATTTTGAGCTTTTAAAAGATTACATCATTGTGGTTTTATTTTTGACTTTGGATCATTTTAATATGAATGTGTGTTCAATTATGTTTTGAATGATGTCGCATGGTATATGTTAGATATGGCAATATCATCTAGAGTTGTGGTTTTCATATGTATATATACGGGGGCGGACGCAGGATTTTACAGTAGGGGTTGCACGGGAGAGTTAGGGGTTGCACGGTAGTAGAAAAAATAAAATTTTCAAAAATTTTCAAAAAATTTTCCTCTGCGGCCGGAAAACTTAGGGGTTGCCGGTGCCACCGTGGACCACCCCTAGGTCCGCCCCTTGTTGGGAATATACCAAACAAGTTAAGCACTTCGAACAAAACGATTAATGATTTCGGTAACACTCGCGGAATAAAAACTACTGAAAAATTGCAAACGAAACTGAACACGATATTTAACGTGGTTCGGTCTAATCTGACCTACATCCACGGGCGAACGAGAGAGATGAGATTTTATTAACACCAATGAAATTACAATCATACAATGCTAAAATCTGCACTTGTAATCTGATCACTGACTGTAAGATATCACTCGTAATTTTTGGCTGCCAAAAATTAAGGCTCTGCACAAAAAATTAATAACTCACTAATTTATCTGTGTATCTACTCTCTATGATGTTATGGTTATTGTGTATCTAACAAATGAAGAGAAAATGAATATTTATAGTCTTTGAGCTGTAACCTTCTTCTTCAATTCACACACATATACGTATATGCTGCTGCAAATTATGACTTGTGTGTCTCATGCATTTAATGCATCACATGCCTACTGCATATTCTTGACTTTGAAGCTACGTACCAGTTTCCAATTTCCCCAGTAGCACACTTTTCATTAGAAAGTACTCCAAGTCTTCACACATGAACCAATTAATTGTAAAGTTACAATATTGGCCCTTGAACTTTGTCATTTATGGCTTCACTAGCCCAACAATCTCCCACTTGGAGACTTAAATGACTTATTATTTCTCTGCCATTCAAAAAACTTTGCAACATTCCTTAATCTCTCTCCATCTCTCTCTCTCTCTCTCTCTCTCTCTCTCTCGTTTTCTGCCATGCCTTTTCTCAAACTTCTAAAAGGCCAGTTGAAGCCATACAAAGCTTCAACTTTTCAGTGGTAACCACCTTGGTGAACATATCTGCTGGATTCTTCGTTCCAAGGATTTTCTTCAGATTTAGAGTTCCATCATTAATTAATTCTCGAATAAAATGGTACCTCATCTGAATGTGTTTCGTTCTACTATGAAACACTGGATTCTTTGCCAAGTAAACTGCACTCTGGTTGTCACAATGCAATACACAATCCTCCTGATGCATTCCAAGTTCTGATAGAAAGTTCTTCAACCATATAAGCTCTTTGGCTGCTTCTGCAATGGCCATATACTCTGCTTTTGTGGTTGAGAGAGCAACACTCTTTTGTAACCTGGACATCCAACTGATTGATGTACCTCCAATCGTGAACACATAACCTGTTGTGCTCTTTCCTGAATCCTCACATCCACCCAAATCAGCATCGGCGAACCCTTCTAAGATCACACCCTTTCTTCTGAAACATAAGGCAACCTCAGATGTTCCTTTCAAGTAGCGTAACAACCACTTTACTCCCTCCCAATGCTCTTTTCCTGGATTTGACATGAACCTGCTCACAACTCCCACTGCATGAGCAATGTCTGGTCTGGTGCATACCATAGCATACATCAAGCTACCAACTGCAGATGCGTAGGGAACTTTAGTCATCCGTTCCCTGTCTTCTTCCGTATTTGGGGATTGCTTCTTTGAGAGTCTCAACTGACTTCCCAAAGGTGTACTTCTGGCTTTAGCATCTGCCATGCTGAACTTTTCTAAAACTTTCTTGACGTACTTAGCTTGTGAAAGTTTTAGTGTACCGATAACTCTGTTTCTGGCTATGCTCATGCCCAATATCTGCTTAGCAGCCCCTAGGTCCTTCATCTCAAACTCTCTGGACAACTGCTTCTTAAGCTTGTTGATCTCCTGCATGTCGGACCCAGCGATCAACATGTCATCAACGTATAATAACAAGATGATGTATGAGGAGTTGAATTTTTTCAAGTAACAACAGTGATCCATCTCACATATGTTGTACCCACTCCTTTGCATGAAGCTATCAAACTTCAAGTACCACTGTCTTGGAGCTTGCTTCAATCCATACAGACTTTTCTTCGGTTTACACACCAGATTTTCCTTACCAATTGTGGGAAAACCCTCTGGTTGTGTCATGTAGATGTCTTCTTTCAGGTCACCATGGAGAAAAGCTGTCTTCACATCTAGCTGCTCTAGATGGAGATCTTCAGAGGCTACAATACCTAAGACCATTCTGATTGTAGTCATCTTTACAACTGGAGAGAAGATCTCATTGTAATCAACTCCTCTCTTTTGTTGAAACCCTTTTACTACCAACCTTGCTTTGTATCGTTTGGTGCCATCAATCTCATCTTTGACCCGAAACACCCATTTATTCTGCAGTGCTTTCTTCCCTTCTGGGAGCTTGACCAAGGACCAAGTGTGGTTCTGGTCAAGTGAGCTCAACTCGTCTTCCATAGCCTTCTTCCACTGTATGGAATCTTTCATCCTCAAGGCCTCTGGATAAGACTCAGGTTCACCATTCTCTGTCAACAACAAGTAATTAGCTGAAGGAGAATACCTAACTGGAGGTCTTCGTACTCTAGTGGATCTACGGATAATAGGAGTTTCGGTTTCTGCATCATCTGCAACCTCATCCTCTAAACTACTATCCACTGTGCTCCCACTATCTTTAGATACATCGGAGCTCCCACTGCTTCCTGAACTTTCACCTATCTCTGGAGTACTAACAGGTTTTACAACGTCATCATCTGAGATTTCTTCTAACTCAACTTGATCCTTCTTTTCTGGTTGCTTGTCGCTATTGGAGCTCTTTGCAAGTTCATCCTTGTATAGAGCATTCTCGTTGAACACCACATCCCGACTTGTGATAACCTTCTTATTCTCATTATCCCAGAAGCGGTACCCCATGTAATCCAACCCGTAACCTATAAAGGTGCACTTCCTTGCCTTTGCCTCTAGCTTTTCTCTCTCTGAGTCTTTAACTTTGACATACGAGACACAACCAAATACCTTCAAGTGTTTGAGCGAAATCTCCCGACCTTGCCATTCCTCTTCTGGAATATTGAACCCTATGGGGACTGAGGGTCCTCTGTTGATTAAATATGCATCTGTGTTGACCGAATCTGCCCATAACATCTTGGGTAAACCTGCATGTAGTCTCATGCTTTTAGCCCTCTCGTTCAATGTTCGGTTCATCCTTTCTGCTACTCTATTTTGCTGAGGTGTCTCCGGAACCGTCTTCTGCATTCTGATTCCTTGGTCAGCACACTAATCAACAAATTCTTTGCTACTGTATTCGCCCCCATTGTCTGATCTGAAACACTTGATTTTCAAGTTTGTTTCATTCTCTACAATAGCTTTCCATTTCTTGAATGTGCTGAAAACTTCAGACTTATGCTTCAAGAAATAAACCCAAACTTTCCTTGTTCAGTCGTCAATGAAAGTAACGTAATATCGAGACCCTCCCACTGAAGAAACTGAAGTGGGACCATAAACATCTTAATGAACTAACTCCAACTTTCTGGACTTGGGCGGATGACCTATCTTTGTGAAAGTAACTTTCTTCTGTTTACCCAGAATACACGGCTCACAGAAGTCAACTGTCACAGTCTTCAGATCTGGTATTCTTCCCTTGGAGGCTAGCATCTTCATTCCTTTCTCACTCATATGGCCAAGTCTTTGGTGCCATAGAGTGGATATCCCAACTTCTTCAATAGCATGTACTTCAGCATCAGAAACTTCTACCATATATAGTGTACCCCGCTTCTGACCTCTAGCAACAACTAAGTTTCCCTTTGTCACTTTCCACTGATGATCACCAAATGTAACATGGTGACCTTCATCATCAAGCTGCCCCACGGATATTAACATCCTCTTCAAGTTTGGAATGAACTTGACATTCTTCAAAGTCCACTTCGTATCCAAAGTTGTCTTGAGGACCACAACCCCAACTCCAGTAATATCCAGGCTCTTGTTATCTGCTAATCTAACTTTCCCTTTATACTGCTTGAAATTATGCATTACTTCTTTGGAATGACTAGCATGAAACGACGCACCAGAATCCATGATCCAAGATTCGGTTGAGTTTTCGACACAACAAATGAGCGCATCATCCTCAGAATCTGCTGCCATATTTACTTCCTTCTTGCCTTTATCTGCCGAAGGCTTTGGGCACTGATTTCTGAAATAACCTTTCTCATTACAGTTCCAACAGGTAATATCTTTCATGTTCTTCGACTGACCTCTCTTTCTTGACTTCGATCTTCCTCTACCAGCACCTCCTCTGTTGGTCTTTCTTCCTCTGCCTTCAGTAGTTAGAAGACTACTGGAAGCTTCTCCGGCACTCCTTTTGCGCACATCCTCACCAAGGATTAAATCGCGAATACCTTCGAATGATAGCTTGGCACCTCCGGCTGAACTGCTAATGGCCGTCACTGTGCCGGACCAACTATCGGGTAACGATGATAATAGTAGCAACGCCATGACTTCATCTTCAAATCCAATATCAACATATATCAATCTTGATATTATTGAGTTGAATTCGTTCACGTGGTCTGTCACTGAGCTACCCTCCTTCATCTTCAGATTTACAAGCTGCCGAATCAAGAAAACCTTATTTGCCGCCGAAGGTTTTTCGTAC